AAGCGTTTAAGTAGACGGAATGAAAGAATATGGCGAAGGACAGGGCTCGAGTCAGACAGGGTAAAATTCATCAAGGCACGCGATCATACAAATCACGTGATCGAGCAAGCAAGGCGTGACTATTATTTCAATCTTATTAATGAAAACGATTGTGCTCAGAGAAAGCTTTTCAAGACGGCCAGTGCATTGCTAGGAGGGTCGTCACAGGAACAATACCCCAAACACTCTGACCCTGCTATGCTTGCTAATGATTTTGGGAGATTCTTTACACAAAAGATCGATGACATTCGCTCAAAGCTGGGTAGAATTGACCCCTCATCAAATCAGCCTAACTACTCGACCAGGAGTAGCGTCCAAGAGCACTCGTTTGCTGGCACACCCTTCACTAACTTCGAGCCTATATCGTCTGAAGGTATAACAAAACTGGTGCTGAATGCCCCAAACAAGACCTGCGACAATGACCCTATACCTACCACGATTGTTAAAGACTGTATTAATGAACTCTTACCGACCATTTCCAGCATGGTTAATCTCTCGCTCAATAGTGGTCATTTTCCTGACATTTGGAAAGAGGGTTTAGTGAGACCAAAGTTAAAGAAAGTCAACTTGGATTTGATAAAGAAAAACTACCGGCTCGTCAGCAATCTCGCATTCCCGTCAAAGATCACTGAAAAGGCAGCTGCACTACAAATCTCTGATCACGTGTCATTCAATCAGATGTTTCCAGAATTTCAATCAGCCTACCGCAAATATCACAGCACGGAGACTGCCTTACTGCGCATGCGTAACGGCATACTCGTCCGCGTGAACAAACAACAAGTCACATTACTAGTGTTCCTAGATTTAAGCGCTCCCTTTGATACAGGAGACCATAATATATTACTGCGGCGCCTGGAATACAAATTTGGAATTAAAGATCAAGCAGTAACGTGGTTTAACTCCTATCTGTCGAATAGATATCCCAGCGTATTGTAATCGGCAGTGCAAAGTCAGAAAGTTTTGATCTGAGGTTTGGCGTGTCACCGGGCTCTTGTCTCGGCCCAATGTTGTTCTCTCTTTACACTAGTGAGCTTTTTGCTGTCATTAACCAGCACTTGCCAACGGCGCACAGTTATGCCGATGATACCGGTATCTATTTGGCATTCAATCCAAACGATGATTCCGATCAAGACGCCGCCATTGCAGCAATGGAAGCGTGCCTCTGTGACATCCGTAGCTGGATGATCAATGACAAACTCATGATCAATGATTCCAAGACTGAGTTTATGCTCATTGGGACGAAGGCGCAGCTACAGAAAACTAAAAGCGCCACTCTAACTATTGGCGAATCCATCATCTCTCCTAGCACGGAACCCCTTAGAAACTTAGGGGCCTGGTTTGACTGCCATTTCAACCAGAATTTTAACATAACCAAAACTTGTAGGAGTGCTTTTTTTTCATCTACACAATATTAGACGCGTCAGAAAATATCTATGCATAGAATCTGCCGAGAAATTAGTGCACGCTTTCATCACAAGCAGATTGGACTATTGTAACTCACTTTTATACGGACTACCCCATTGCGCCCTCACTAAACTGCAGCGTGTTCAAAACGCAGCTGCAAGAGTTCTATATCTAGCACCACGGTTTTGCCATATCACACCAATATTATACGAATTACACTGGTTGCCTGTGACCTTTAGAATAGAATTTAGGGTTATTATAATCACTCACAAAGCAAACTATGGAACAGCTCCTAATTATTTATCATCTCTCGTTAACTTTAAACCTAATTCTTCCTACAGCCTCAGATCAAATAACAAATATCTGCTTTCAAATCCTAACTTTAGGACTCTCCCTACTCTTGGTGACCGAGCCTTTGTAGCCGCCACACCAAAACTATGGAATAATCTTCCGTTAGATCTTAGATGCACCTCCGATTTTCAAGTTTTTAAACGTAATTTGAAGACTCACCTTTTTAAAAAAGCCTTTTCTGATATAATGTTGTAATTTAATGTCGTAATTTTTTTTTTTTTAGATCTTTAATTGCAAGGTATATTTTGAGATTTTTAATTGTAAGGCGCATTTGAAAACTGTATAGTTGAATTTGCGCGGTATAAATAAATGTTATTATTATTATTATTATTTTTATTATTATTATTATTATTATTATTATTATTGTTATTATTATCTCTAGACAGCCTAGACGTATCAATTGATGGGGTGGATATTCCACTATTTTTAAACTCTCTTAATATTTTCGCCGAATGCCTATTAGTTTGGTTGAGCTTGTTACAGTTATGAGATTAAACGCCCATGTCTTTTAAGCGCCTCCTTTCTATTAAACGCCCCCGTTTGGACCCTTACAATTTAATAGACTCCCGGGGCGTTTATTAGGTCATTTACGGTAATGACATCGTTGAAAGCTATTTTCGTCTAGACTTTGATCACTGACTGAGATTCTGTTGTATCTCAAACGGAAAACAGTTTAAAATATGATCTTATTTTGGTCTTCCACAGTATGGCAAGCCAAATGTAGCAATATTTAATTCGTTTAATTTTATATGTAGTTTTGTATTATGTGTTCAACTATTCGTTTAATAATCAACTTATATTCAACATTCAACGCGTTATTCAATATTCATCGTCGCATTCAACATTCAGCTATTCATTTTATATTCAATTCCTTATTCAGCCATTCAATTATCAGAGTAAAACCTCGAACGAAAGCAATCTTTTTCGAGGAAATATTGATCAACAATCCCTAGGAGAATCTGCCTAAACTTAGTAAGGAAAGGATGCAGTATTTCTGTCATGCCCTGAAGCTAAACTTAAGGAGCCGACACTCAGCCGCAAGTGCAAGCAATAGAGCTTGTCACGGTTTTCGACGCCATCTTGACGAGTAGGCAAATGTTTGAGAAATTATAGTGTTTGTATCACAATCTAACGTTGAATAATTTCCGTAAAACGGCTGTTCTGAAAAAAATATCAATTGTAAACTAAAGCTAAAAAGCAAAGGATTGTCCTAAAAAATTTTGGGGGCGTACCTGTGCTTAAATTTCTCCAGAGGCTTGTTTTAGATTTTCCATATATTTGTGTGTAAGTTTCCTGGGACTTTCTTACAGACAAATGTATAGGAAATTTAAAAAGTGGCTCTAGGTCTTCTAGCGCATGTAACGCCCGCAATTTTTTTCAGTAGAATCCTTGGGAATGAAGCTTTAGTTTACAAATCATATTTTTTTCGGAACAGCCGTTCTACGGAAGTTATTCGAAATTAGATTCTCATACAAACACTGTCATTTCTCACGCGTTTGCCCACTCGTCAAGTTGGCGTCGAAAACCGTGACAAGGTCTATTGTTCGATGAACAGGTCGCTCGAAGCAAAGATGATTATAAATTTTCTACAGCAAAGGATCGATCTTCTGTTTAATTCTACCGGCTTCTGTAAAGTAGAGGATCATTGCAGGCAAGAACACAGATGTGATTGTGCATGTACCGATTGTAACCTAAGTATGCTGGAGAAAAACGTAAAAGGGCAGTACAGAACGGCTTACCTGGATTATTCCCGTCGCGGAAAAGAGAAATGTCGGGGACTAGTCTATACTCAGTGCATGCTAGCCAAAAGGTAGATGTACGTGACATTCTTGACTGGATTACAAGGTGATTGCCCACAATGTAAACATGCTCCCAGACACAATAAGTTCCAAAAAGAAGCAGCTCAACAAGTGAGCCCTTGTAAGCCATTGCCGTTTGACATTTTATCAATGTATTTATACATGTCTTGAGTAGTATCTAAATTACTAGAATAGCAGTGTAACTGGAGGTTACAGAATCGCAGTCAGGGGCCTCAAAAAGAAACTATGTACTATATACAATTTATCCCCCCTAAGAAAACTTACGTGTGTTTTTTAACATTTCTCAATGTATGAGGTCTGGTCTGACAGGAACTGCAGTGTTACCGGACAAGAAATGCCTCTCTTGTAAGACTTTATTATACTTGCTTTTATCTATGTTCAGTGAGAATTGTCTGTGGTCAGATCTCTAAGATTTTTTACTGAGACCGTACACAGCGACGGAGAGAAAGCCTAAATGTAAGCCTCGCCGACCTAATACGATGTTGCCCTTTCACTCAAGGTCACTCTGACGTGTTTCGCTTTTTGGTAGTCTTTATTTTACGGTTTGTAAAAACAGGTACACCCACTCTGTTATCATTCCCCAATATTTGGTTGGATCCAGCCCCGTAAAAAAAGATAAACACGACGGTTCTTTGTTCAAATTTTTGGTCGAACAATTCGGGAATCCTTCCAATAGTTCCAAGTAACGAAAGTCTCGGATTAGATCTTTCCTTTCTCAAGGTTTTTAATCGAAGTTCTTCATAGCGTAAAACAACAGCACTATTCTTTGCTGTAGAATATTATCTTTCTGGAGTAATCTGGCCCTTATTATCGTTTCAACTGCACGCAATGACCTTTGCTTTACCCTCTGTTTTGGAAGCCATTTTGAATCCGGAATTTAAAAAGTCCGGGAAAATCCGGTAGTGCCATGCTCCCGCGCGTTATGAAATAAGGCAATAACCCGGATGGCAGTGACGCCTCTCACTAGCAGCTGAAGTAACACGGCAACGTTGATCAGACACATTAAGCATACAACTTTTTTTTCTCTTTTAAAAACAAATTCATTTATTTCAATGGTCACACCATAGGATTTCATCCATTAACGTAAATGTTAAAACCACATGTTTCTGTCATTGTGTTGTTGATCCTGAAAGTAAGAAGAAATCAAGTAATGATCGATATCAGTTTAAATGGTAACAGGACATGGGGAGGGAGGTAATCTTAATTTGTAAGAATGCTTCCTTTGCATATTATACTTTTCAATAACCAAGAAGCGTCCATAGCTCGATGGTTGCACGTTTCACATTTCCATTCATTAATTTTCCTTTTCTTCATGACATTTTCTCCATCCAGTCGAACAACGACGGGAATATAACTGCTTCCATTCAAACAAAGAGAGCATACACATTAACACATACTGTACGTTCCTCCATTGTCTTCTTCGCTAAAATTCACCAAGTCCTCACCGTACCACAAGAGTAATTCCTGCTCTGAAGATATCCAATTGGGAGTCGACAGAACTGACAAGACAAGCTCTGGCGAGACAGAGTTATATCCGGGAATCTTGTACCACTCTAAGGAAGGAATCGTAAGGAATTGTTTCGGTGGCAGAAGAATCCGATTGGCGGTGGTTGTTATGGTAACGCTGACTTGAGCCTGCATCTTGTCACCGCAGCCCCAGTAAGACCAATTAGAGGTGTGACGTGTATCACAGGACACGTATCCATACAGATGAACGAGCTTAATGGCAGCCAATCTACTCACTGGAACGTAGAATCTTCCGAAGTGGTTGTTTTTGGCCCCAAAACAAACTGGTGACGAATTCAGCTTGCGCCAACGAACTGAAAGAAAATAAAGAAAAGAAATATTCACGGCTTATGCAAACAGGAGATTATGTTCCTTAAACCATTCAGTACACTGAATTGACAATAATAAACAATAGGAGTCCAAGGATGGACCCCTGCGGCACTTTAGAAGTAACGGCAAGCTCTTCAAAGGACTGAGAATCGATACACATCAGCTGTTTTCTTCCCGAGAAATAGTCCTTAAGCTTTGGAAGGCTTTCATTTTTTATACGTAATAATAATTTAATTTATTACTAATCTAAATGTCATGGTTAACTGTGTCAAAAGCCTTAGTCAGGTCGATGAACATGGAACCCACGACTAGGCCCTTTTCGCATTCATGAGACTCTCATCAGCGAGATGTGCGACAGCTGTCTCAGTTGAGAGCATTCTTCTAAACCCAGGTTGCGTTTCGCGAGAGGGTGAAGGTAATTTTCGGAGGCTACTCCCCCAGGGAACTACTTAGTAAAGTTTTACCAAAGAGGCGCTGTCTATGGATCCAACTCCTTACCCTTTTATATACCATTTTCAAAAGATATACCTCCCTTTAAGAAGTGGTATCACTCATATACCCTAGCCATAAGGTGCGTCTGTTCGAAAAATTTTAAGCAAAGGCTCTTTTAAATACAGTGAAACCTCAATTCCCTTGGGAGCGACGCAAGTGACCCTTGGACAAAAATTTGTTGGAATAATTCTCATTCATCCATACAGTGTTGCCCGTTGGTCGCCCAAAATTGCCCGCAGCATTGTACAGATGAGTGACATTTATTCCAAATTATTCTCAAGCTTCTAACCTTCTGCTTCCTGTTTACGGCAAAAAGCTACGACACTTTACATTACCTAAGATGCACAAAAATGTTATGAGAACATTACGTAGCTTTATGAAAGAAAATGAAATGGAATATACGGAGGCTGTGGAAGCTGCCGTCAGTAAGCGAAAATACCTTTTGAACAGTCTGTTTGATCTGAAAGATATTCCTAAAGACACATCGACTGAAGACGACAACTTAACATATGAGGCACGAACGAGAAAGTTTTACGAAAGTTTAAACACATGATCAATTGAAACATTTCTAGATAAGATCTGCAATGACTGCCTTCATATGTTACTAAAAGACAGGAGCGAATTTCCACACTCAATTGTGCAGGCACTGCACGTTGTAATATTGCACTTAATAAAGTTGGGAAATTTCAGGATGAGAGATGAAGATCAATTATTTTTGAACAAAAATTTGTTGGAATAATTCTTTCTCATCTGTTCAATGGTGAGGGTAATTTTGGGCAACCAATGAGCAACATTGCTGTGAGTCAACAGAACTGTCCGAGCAAGACATCGACCAAATAACTGGTTAATTATACTCAGAGCCAGAGTAGTTTGCGAGCCCCTTTACAGCTAACGCAGAGCAACTCTGAGTTATTAAAGAGCAGCTCCGAGCAACATTGAGTAAACAGAGAGTACTTTTTAGCTCTGTGAGTAGCTCATGATCAGTCAATTGTATTTAGTTGATTGCGCAGTGAATGTCGGGTGTGGGTGTGGTTTTCGTAGACTCTGAGGTTGATTTGACAATTGCTTATCTCCCAAATGCAGGTGAAGGTTGACAATACATGCTCAAAAACACACTCTGGCGACTTTGTAAGAAAACGTCTTTGGTACGTGTTTTGACAAGACGTTAAAATACACATACGTACTATATATCCACTCTTACTACGACAGGTTAGCCTCTTCGTACAAACACGTTTTGGGTACGTCTTTTTTTGACAAGATGTTTCAATGTGCACGAGGGGACATAAAATTCACTTCCACATAAATACGACTTGGGTTTCTTTTGTTAATAAAATGCTGGTAAATATCTTTCCACCAAAGTGCACCTGCGTACTTTAGTAAATATTCGCATAAGTGGACAGAAATTCTAGTCCCATATATGTGATGACAAGTGTTTAACGTACTATCGTAATGTGCATGCGTGCTCTCGTAGGTGTCCGTACGAGGGGACAGAAATTCTACTCGCATGATGTGGACGATTTGACAAGAGTTGACTAAAATAAGATCAAACAAACTACAGAATGAGTAACGGCCTACTGATCATCCTATGCTAATTAAAGATAGATGAGTCACCCACTTTTATATTACAGTCATAGCAACTTTGTCCCGACCATTTCAGACCCTTCCTGAAGAGGTCCAGCTCTCCAGTTTTCCGAAGAAATTCCAACCCCTTCCACGTAACCAAGCGCGATTCCCACTCCACCTGATCACGTGACTCCACCTCCAAGAGCGATCTCACGCAACTCCACGCAACCAAACCGCTGACTGCAGGCTCATAAAAAACACTGACCGCTGACCATTTAAAATCAGTTTGCGTGTAAGGCTAGCTTTACGATGATAGGTATTTAGCAGAGAATACCACTTCATAATACGCATTACCATTAAGTAACATGTAGAATCAAACTCTATTCTGCGTTAGTCAATCTGTCTATACATTACCCAACAAACTAAATATTTATTCGGTAAATTGACGGATTACTTACGGTTTGGGTAAGCCCGGGCATGGAAATACAGGCTATTCTTTTAACCTATTTTTATCTATGACATCACCGAAACGGTGGATCCCCAAGATCTACCCAGATCCACCAGGCTCAGAACCTTCCTTTTAAAGTCTACTCCCCCCGCCCAGTGTTTTGCCCACTCTTCTTTTACGGCTGTGATAAATCAAAGAAATGCTTGAAGTAGACTAAGCCGAGCAAAAAGAGTAAAAGAGTTTCTTCACGCGCGGTCGATAGACTTTTGTGATCATTTTACTATCTATCGTAAGACTCTGAACAATCCAAGAATTGACAGTAAGACAATTCAACTAACCTGAGCCGGCTTCTCTCTTCACGCTGTTTTGCAAACCAGAACGGCAGCAATTTATCGTGGCTTTATCATTCTTCATTGCAGATCCCTCTTCAACGCTGTCTTCTACCTGTTGAGGGATTTTCTCGCCCAAAAGTGTGAAAACACCAAAAGAAAGGTCAAACACGAAGACTAAAGCCAACTTCATCGCTGTATTGAAGATGCGAATCGAGTACGATCGAATAGCAACTGGTAGATCGGAATTCATAGACGCCTGTGACAGCTCTTTTTGATGCGGACGTCAACAAGTCTGCAATATGTCCAGAATTGCAGGTAGCACTGAGGAAGTGACGAAAATGGTAAATTTAGCGCCATTTTATAAAGGGTTTTCTAGATACTGTGAGTATTATCTTGACAAGAGAGACCGAAAATGCAAGGGGGTGATGTACGGCGAAATTTGCATAAGGCGGTTAGCTTCAATTACGCCAATCCTATGGTGGCATTCAAAGAAATATAATGTCTTTGACTACATTCAGGAGCCGATAAGTAGGTGCTAATCGGTTCAATGGTTCGTCAACAAAGTCACACACACCCTAGCTTCCCTTATTTTTAGTGGTCAATTTGACTGTTGTAACACCCAAATAATTGTCCAATTTGACCTGAATGTCAGCTTGTAAGAAGGTTGTTATCGGACAACTTAAACAGCCAATGAAAATTAAAAAACAAGTAAAACTAACGATACAATGCCCCGACTTTTCGGGTCACCACATAAACGCCATTATCAAAGAATGAGTCATTCCCCAATTCAATGGCGCATAGATTTAACTGTCGGAGATCCTTTGGGTGGACAAGCGGTAGTCATGATTGGTCGATGGTATTCAAGGCAACCATTAAAGAGCCACAAGTGGAGGTTGTTCAACCAAATGATCCCAGAAATCGTTGCGCCTAAAGCTAGTACCCATTCCACCTATATTTTCTGGAATGGGGATAATGGCTGTGCTTCGAAAAGGAAACCGTGGAGTTAAATTGCCTTTAATAGGAACTTGCTGTCATTAAAATAAATAAAAAGAAATCTTATGTTTATTATTTTGTTTCATAGTTTATGGGTTATGGGGTGGTTTTCCTTAGCTTGTTTTAACGAAAATTTAAAAGGAGTTCGAGTCATGTAAATTTACATAAGTTAATTTATGGTGTTGAAAAATATTCTTTTATTCCCCTACAATTTTCAGTTTCACGCCGAAGGAAGCTAAATTGCATCTCTTGAGGTTTCTCTTTACACAAAGAGAGCGTAGATATCAGCTCATACTGTGCCTTCATTGTCTATAGGCTTTGATAGATTGTGCTAGTATAACTTTTGGGCAAAATTTTGGGGGGGCATTTAAACTTTCACCTGTTTTCCGAAAAAACATCATTGCTAGCATAATTTGCACTTTTGACGAGGTTTGCAGTACGAAATTGCCATTTATTTGTTAGAGTCTGACTGGGCCAACATGGTCAACACACCCTCTAGAGAAAAAGCGAAAACGAACGCCAGAGTCAGCTTCATCCCTGCGTAAGCGACGTGAATCGTCCCACCAATCTAGGACTGGTGGAAAGAAAATTCAAAGAGGCTTCTCAGGGATAGCTCAAGGGGGTCCAAACTGTAAATTTGCCTTTCGCATGTTTTCTATCAAACTTCTGTTGCAAGCAAATACATATGAATATGCATGCGACTAAGTATTATTTAATGTATTTTTGAGGCCGGGATTTTCAGGTTTCAGTTATGAACTATCAAATCATCAAATCAGATCATTGTATGACTACGGCAAGAGTAGCTCATGAAGTCAGTAGAGCGCTTGACTGCAGAGCCAGATCGGACGGTCGCAGGTTCGATTTCCAGGGCGTATCAATACCCAGGGTCTTAAAAAAACTGAGAAATGATGGTAGTTCAGAGTTTTACCAGTGACTATCGACTTTTCTTGTCATGATCCGATAGCCTGGAAGGGAATGACAGCTTAGAAAAACTCCCCTTTTTCTCTTCGACTCAAAGCCCCAGAGAGCCTAGTCGCAGGCTAAAGATCAGGTAGAGAGTCCCAAAGCATGCGGGGGAGGGAGGGGGGAAAGGAAGTAACAGGGGGTCGTAGGCCGCTCCGATCGAACGTCGTCAACAGCTCTCTAATTCATATTATAGAATAACCAACAGGTTCCTTGAGGCCCATCGCGAACTCTTCACTGGGTCGTGAACCTGGAGGAGGTCTAGTTAAGCCCTGTGCTGCCTTATAAGAAAGCAGTAAAATCATAAAACTCAGATGCTTTTTATCTTTACAGGCAACCAATGCAAATTAATTGAAACCGATGTAATGTGGGCATATTTCATTGTCATACAAATACGTCTCACGGGCCACATGACGCTTTGGTGAACCAAGCTTACGATTTGTTAAATAGAGACAGTTAAAGCAAGGTAACTGTATGTGTAAAATTTCGTTATCCACGGTATCAAAATCTTGAGTTTTAGGATCTAGGAAAACAACTCGATACTTTGTGAAGTTCAACAAAACAAACGCACATTAAACCAAACTGGTGATCAGTTAAAAGTATTGAATTCATTTATTGTCAGTATAGATTATTTTCATGAATGTTGCAGATCACGGATACTCCTTATATATAAATCGGTCGTAGTTCCATGTTCTTGCGCAGGCAGGAGCCTGTTGTACATTTAGCTATTATCTTTCATACACCAGAAAATCACTGGGGCGACGTATCTAAACGGTTTTGCAAAAATATAATCTATTCCAATGGATTTAAAATACTTTGGATGAGAACAAGGCTGATAAGCTTTTAGGATTTGAACGATCTGGCCTTTGGGTTGTTTTTGTTGTTTGTCTTTCGAAAGTCGAAGATGGCTATAACGTCAGACTTTAGACCAGCGGGGATGGTCCAAAGATGGCCAATATAGCAATATGAACCAGGACGGCTCGGCCACGCTGCATGAGACTTGAGTGTGTGGGTGCTGCAGTGGAGGTGGACATTGCTCTAGCTTTGCGCACGGCGAGTTTCTTCTGCGGTCGCTCGGTTTTTGCCTGCACGGGCCCCTTTGGTGACTTTGTTATGCCAAGTTGGACGGTCCTGGGTAAGTGACTCCCAAGTACTGAGGTCGAACGTCCAGATCAAGGCAGTCTTTGAAACTTTTTATCTGCCCTCTAACCGAGCACTTGCCCTGAAAACGTTTTCTATGCAGAAGCTGCTTTAGCAGTCACGTCGGCTGCAAGGCATGCTGGTGACATGGCCTATCCATCTAACCTGGGCTTTCTGTAGGAGGATGTGAACGCTGAGGATTGCGGCCCTTTCTAAGACCTCCGTGTCAGGACTTCCGTCCTTCCAACTGATGTGGAGAAGAATGCGGAGGCAGCTAATGGTCTCGCAGGGGCAGAGGAGAGTCTTCAGTAATACTATACGGTAGACTCTTCAGCTTAATTGGGAGGCTGATGCCTTTGTGCTCCCAGACATTCTAAAGGAGTCTTTCGAAGGTTACGGGATGTTTATCGTTTTCTGGAATACCGGGTCCCATTTCTTCCAATCGGACCCGAATAAGAACTCGGACTCGACTGCTTTTATTCGGACGCGAACTTTAATCGGATCCGAATTGCATTCGGCCAGGTGCAGTCTGATACATGACTTCATTCTTGGTGCTGTTGGTAAGGCTGATGTTGTCACAGCCTTAAGATAAGCAGTCCATTTCATGCAGTCAGCAGCAAACAAAAAGTCTTTGATGACGGTCTCTTTCACCTTTATAACATCCTTCAGGCGCCTGAGGTTGAACAGCCCGCCTTCAGTCCTGTATCTGACCGGTATTCCGTCCTGGCAGTCATGGAAGGAATCAATCTGTGTGGCCGAGAATATACATTCTAAAGAGTTGCGGAGCCAGAAAGCAGCCTTGTTTCACGCCGTTTGTATCTGGAAAGGCTTCTGACTCGTCTCTGTCATCCAGAAATTTAACCATCATGCAATCGTGAATCTGTTGGACGATCGTTATGGACTTGCTGAGACAGCCAGAATTCTCCATTATTTTCCACAAGCCGTCTTTCCTCACCGTATCGAAGGTTTTGGTCAGATCAACGAAGGTCACAAAATGGTGGCTATTCTGCCTTTAGCATTTTTCCTGGAGCTGGCGTGCAACGAATATCATGTCGGCAGTTCCACCTTCTGAGCGGAAACCACACTTGTTTTCTGGGAGGTGTCTCTTCTCAAGATGTTGAATGACGCGTTTCAGCAGAATGCGGGCCAAGATTTTGCCAGCAAAAGACTGGCAGTTGCCTTTTTCAACTGTAGATATGGGCTATGCTGGTATCTTTGAGCTGTTGTGAGACCTTTCCTTCATTCCACATAGACTGGAATACCTCTTTCACTTTCTGCATCATGGTTGCGACACCTGCTTTGAACACTTTAGCGGGGATTGCGTCTGGTCCTGGCACTTTGCCAGCTGAGAGTTGTTTGATGGCCTTTTGGACTTCTCAAGGTGGGCAGCTTATCAAGGTGCTGACTGAACTCCACTTGAGGTAGGCGGGCAATGGTATCATCACTGATTCAAAGTGTTCAACCCGTTTCTCCAAGATCTTCTTCTTCTCATTCAGCAGTCGAGTCCCATCTGTACTGAGGAGGGCGGGAGGAGCCAGCTGCTGTGGTCTTTGCTAAACAGTCTTCAAGGCATCATAAAGCGCTTGCTGTAATGGATGTCTGCATAGCTCTGGATTTCATTGGCCTTCTTTCCTTACCACGCGTCCTGCATCAAGCCGAGTTTCCTCTACACCTTTTGTTTAGCGTTTGCAAAGGAACTTTCCTTGCTTTTGACGTGGAGTAATTCTGGAGTGCTCGGAACAGTTGGTGCTTTTCGGACTGAGTACCTTTATTACTCTCATGGAACCAGTCCTGATTTCTGCCAATTACTAGCTCGAGATGTCAAGTGCTGTAAAGTAGACTGCATTTCTGAAGGCTGCCCACTGCTCTTTGGATAAACACACAGTAGCTCACAAAAATGGCAGCCTCGATTGTTTTAGCAAAAGTCGGGAAAATTTTGGTAAATTATTCGTTCACAGTGGTCACTGGTTTGCAATATTGTCTGGGGATACAACTGTTTTGTTAGAGTATAATTTGACTGAGAGTCTGAACGAAGATTTTTGACCGGTGTGTAGGATAGGTTTGTCTTGAAATTTTAAGGTGTTGCAGTGAATCAATCTTAATGAAAGTTTCAGACATGTTTATATACATTATGAAGATTATGTGAAGAGATTT